TGATATCCGGAAACCTTGGTGGCCATTCTGTAGGACCTCTTCTGCCAATCCAGCGACCAGAAAATGATCATCCAAAAATTGTCGCACTGGAGCTGCATAATGAGAAGGTGCACCTTCCTGCTGAAAAACTATTACCTTCTTGAATGAATTTATATTCTCCTCAATTGTCCTATTGATGATATTATTCGATTCCCCAGTGTATCCAAATATTTATCACTAGTCAAATTATCATTGATAAAAAAGGTCCTATGACGTGGTCACCCAAAATTCCTGCCCAAACATTCAATTTTTGAGTTCGTTGGGTATGAACTTGACGATATAAATGATGATTCGTATCACTCCAATATCGACAATATTGCCGAATCACCTCTCCATTCAAACTGAACGTACATTCACCCGAAAAACAAATTTTATTCAAGAAACTCTGATGCAGTGAGACTTTCACAAAACTCGATACGGCTATCGAAATCATCTTCGTTCAATTCATCTACTAGTCTAATCTTATATGGATGAAATTTGTACTCATGAAGGATCCTGAAAACATTTGTGACTGATTCCTGATTCTCGACATAACTCAGTAAGAGATTGCGAATTTTTCATTGGTCCAACGTGCCCTAAAATTGCAGTACAAATCCTTGACAAATCGTTCACAAATCCTGAACGGTTATGCTTTTTATTGTTAACAGATCCAGTTTTCATAAATTTGTTCAACAATTTCGAAACTTATTTGTGTCATACATTTCTTCTTGGATAATTATATCATTGAATATACGGGCATCAGCTCTGGCACTATTTCCATTCTGGTAGTACAAACTCACTCTTTGAATCCGTTTTCGAAGAGTATAAACCATTGCTTCTCAACACAAAAACAGAAACACCAATTGTAACTTCACCAGGTGGGTAATCGTTATTGTAGAATGAGACAAATACAAAATGTAGATACTATCGAATTTGAACTTACCCAACTAGACAAAATAAGACTTTTTTAGAGTATACATCTATGAAACCTATAGGTAACAGATTGTACAGAAGTTCATTCAGGGTGGCTCGTTTTCAACTCAAATAATTTTAGCTTCCAAACTATGAACTTCAGACCATAATGTATTCAACTCTCTTGAACATGGAACATCCGATCCATTTAAAAAAAATGGTGATATGCTTTGGGGGTGCGATAGGGACAGTTAAATCAAATGTGAATATGTCACAATGTATCCCCCTGTATACTATCGTTGAGGTGTTTTAATATTTTTCCAGAAAATCATTGTTCCAAAAGTTATTCAGGGTGGCTCGTTCTCGACTCAAATAGTTTGTAACTACCAAACCATAACCTTCAGATCACATTTTTCATACTTGCCTCCAAGAACAGTCAGCTATGGGTTCCGTGTTTTCTAAGGGAATCCTGTGGTTTCCTTCAATGAGTGCGTGTTCTGCCACAGCCGACTTGTCGGTTTGACCTAGTCTGCAATTTCGCTCATGTTTCTTCAACCGTGTTTTCAGGGATCCGATGTATGGTGGTTTTGATGTACACTTTGATACCAAAAGATCTATGGAAACAAGGTTGAAGGAGCAAGAGAGAAACTGCAGACTAGCCCAAACGGAGAAGTCGGCTGTGGCAGAACACGAATTCAGTGAAGGAAACCACAGAATTCTGTTTGAAAACACGGAACTCATTACCCCCGATACCAGGGATACCATAGCTCATTGGTACGGGATGCAATAGAAATCCACAAATATACGGATAATTTTAAAAGAAAAGAAGAAGCTGTCAACCTCAATCGAATATGGAATCCCATTCCACAGAGTTCAATAATAGCAAACAGCTTGTCGATAGGTAGAAAAAGATAATCAGATATTATTTAAAATTGACCAAATCCACATACAGGTATTATCACACCTGACTAACTGGGGAGTCAGCGAAACGTCAGGAAGAAATTCCAAAGGTTCAGGGCCTCAAAACCCGAAGAATATTCACACTGGCATTTGTTCTTAGTTGAATGAAGTTCTCTAGAACGAAGCCATTTTCACATTCAACATACGAAAATACTGATAAGTTGTTTTTCAATCTGATGTTATTTTGATTTTTTTGACCAACTGCATTCCATTCTGAAAGGATTTTTTCTATAACATCGGTTTCATGACTTTCCTTTCTAGATTTGTCCTTCAACTAGGCAATCATCAAATTTGAAGGCCAACCACTAATATGAGTAAATTCATAACTTCAAATTGTATTTGAAGTATTTTCTTCCATAAGCGAGCCTAACCAAACAAATCTAGTATATAATCGGTCTATCCAATTTTCATGGATTGGCGAAAGAACAAAAAAGTGAATTAATTTCCGGAAAATACATTTTTAGTATATTTTTCTGAATCAGCCTAGAAAATTTAGATCATTCTCCATATCAAGAAGAGTCATCATAAAAGTATGTTGTTTAGATTGAACAGATTTTCCAGATGATATGATTGAAACAAATCCTGGATTACCCTCCGAGAATACACATATTCAATTATCGGTAGTAGAGGATAAGACAATTACTGTGGATCGAAATTGTAGTCCAAATTTAGGTACATATTAAATTCTTGAGATTCCGTTGAATCCAATCTAAATACTCTATTGTATAAATGAACGATGTTAACATATATTTGACTCTGAATGGTAGAGATAATAATAAGCAATAACCCCTGTTAATCTAATTTGGGATTCTGCTTCATTTTTCACCCCAATTACATCGATTGAAATAGAGATATATATCATGAAAAAGATTCTGTCGGATACGAAAATCAAATTGTATATTCTGGAATTGTACAATAAAAGCTGAAACCTCACCTTTTCTTAACTTGCACAGATATCTAGAAGACTTCTGAGATTTTCCATTGAAAAACAGCCGATTGCAAAATACAACATTTTTTATAGGTTAGTTGAAACTCTGAATGAAAGATAATACGAATCGCTAGTGATAAAAGCTGATTGGATGTAAAAGATTTCAAAGATTTCCCTTGGACAATATTTTATATATACTTGGGGAAAGTTATTTCTTATGAATAGATTTTTTCGAGGTTTATATTCGATGAAGACATTATTATGGTTGTTACCTGTTTTCATTTTCTTCCTGCAGTTGTTGATCGAAATGGCATTCATAGAATTTTTCATATCCTATTAAATCACCTCCATACAATCAGTGTCAATTAACCAAATCAGATAACAAATAAATGAAGCATGGTTACAAAATGCTGGCCCACTTCCATTTGTATTTTTTTACGTTCTCAAAAAACACATTTCAATGTAAGATTTCTACTTGGAAGCTAACAAAACCGCGACACGTGTTTCACTATACAAGAGCATCTTCGGGCGTCACAATACTATTTGGTAAATTTTTTCAACGAAAACTTTTTTATTTTAAATGCAGATCCCTGTATAACTTTAAATTTTTTGTTTTTTCTAAATATTATAGACATATTGTATGTATAATATACGTATACGTATGTATAATATATTATATGTATAATATATGTATATTTTTCTAAAATATCAGGTGTTTTCAGATTCATCGCCAAAAATCTTGATTTTCAAAAATCACTACAACACACTCAAAAACTGATGATTGATACCGTTTATTTCATGTGTGAGAAAAAAACAAACAAAACATTAATATCACTTTTTCAGATATTTAAATGCTTGCTACAAATGCCTTGGTAACCTCCCAATCGTAACCGATCTAATCATAAAACAAGCAGCATACTTGTTTTATAATTTCATGGTGCCGCAACAGTTTTATTCTGTTGGTATTTTATAATAACTTCCAAAATGCTAATTGTCTTTTAATTATTTCATAAGTCGAGCTGTGAACACAATACAGTTCAAGGGAATAAAAGTCTTTCATAAATTTGTCTTAGAAACGTTTATAAAATGAAATTATAATAAAACCGTTATAAAATAGTCACGAAATTAGCACAGAAACGTTCTTACAACTAACTTATAAAACATATTTTTCTATAAAAGTAAATTGTTTTGTAGCAGTTTTCTAGTAATTTTCTGCGAGATTTGTATGATCTTTATAAAATTATTTCTAGCTTATTTTATAACTGCTTCCTGTAACTTTACAAAATTTTGTTTTTATCATCATGTCACTCCAATGATAATTTCCCAACTATTTTATAATATGATATATCTACTACAATTCCAAAACAATAAAGTAACTGTTGAAAAATCAAAGTGATTCCGCGAATATATATTTGCTGTTGTCAATAATGAAATGCAGCATTTGAGAAGAACCAGCTGACATTCATTTCAGAGGCCATGTAATGAAGTATAATTTGCCAGTTTTATGTGACTAGCGTCTCGATAACTATATATCTAACAATGTTGTAATATTGGTATTCGTTCAGACGAAGACCCACGTAACCTAGTGCTTCAATTCTTTTCTTGCCAAAAACACGAACAGATTATCAATTATTGAAATCCGTCGATTTAAGTGGAGCGCCATGTATATATACCCTCAAATCATTAGCTCGAAACTTCTTCGAAATTTTGCGTTTACAATCGATGAAAGACGCTCTTTAGCGACAACATCCCGATAGATAATATTTATCCAATTTATACATGGAATCTTATCTTCATACAAGCATTTTTGTAGGAATCTGTAGCTATAAAAATACTTCAACTCTGCCGCAATACCCCTAGAACTAAATATTCCTCAACAGTTCATTAAGGCTAACATAGTAGCTGAAATAGGTTAAAATGTTTGCTACTGAGACCATTTCAAAATTATTTGTTAGTTTTTAGTTGTTGACATATCTATTATATTTTCCTAGTATCCGATACAAAATTAAGAAAACATTTTGTCACTTATCGTTTTAGACTACTTTATACTTTATGACGGTTACTTGGAACTACTAAGAAACTCTTATGAAATTGTCTTTTGATTATTTAAGTAGTATCTTTACAAAACTGTGTTAGAAAAATGACGTCACTGCATGCATTATTTCAACAAGAAATATCTTACCACGACGAGGTTCCACATCTTCGCTGCCTCAGCTACCGTCGTACAAACAGTGCTGCAACCCGCTAACAACATGAGCTTCGTTGGTTGGTTGTAGAGCAGATTATACATGACGCTGGCTCCCAGTCCCGGCTCGCACTGCAAAAATTTGCATAAATTAGTATAGTAACCCTTCTAACTATACCCGTTCAACATCAAAAACAAACGAAATCTGCCGCCGGCGAGGCTCTTGTTTGAGAAAGGATACGCGAGCAGAAAAGGATTCCGCTAAAACAATCTCCTTCCAACATACACGGTATCTGTCGACGTTCTTGTTGATATAAAGGTCCGTTCTCCTCGGCCTTATCCGCTTCCTTTTCAGGAGGGTTATGCCTCACGACATTGTTATGATACTAGGGTTTATTGTCTAATAATAGTTCTAATGATAACACTTGAGTTTAACAGGTTTACACAAAGGGAGAGGTTTTTTCTCCAGCATCCCTCGCATGACATATAATGATGAAGATAGCGGAATGTTTTATACAGTGGGTTGCACTTGATAGGAGGACAAAGCGTTGACTTCATTCAATTCAAAGAGTAAAATTTCAATTTCAATAAATATAGTTTGAATAAACTAAAAATTTTAACTTTTTAGTTTGATGTTCTTCAAAAGCGTGTTTTTTAGTTTTTTTTAAACTAGTCTAGTCACTAATATTATAAATCTTCAACAGACGGCGCACGAACACGGCGTAAAATTCCTCCCAAACAACATAATAAAGTTTGAGCATTGGTTTGAGTCTCCAACAGAGAGCGGACAGTTGTAAAATTTGTTTCGAAGTAAAGAGAAAATTTACAGTAATAATTTCAAAAAACAATTCAGTCTTGATGTTTTTATTTGAAATTTCATTCAAAATATTAATGGACTAAAAATATTTTTTCAGTGAATAATTTTATATTTCAAATCAATCTTTTGATTTGATATGTATGTCAAGCACCTTAATTCTATTTTTCGATTTTTTGAAATATTTAAGTAACTGAATTTTTCAGGTGTACAATTTATGATGAAGTTTTCATTGTTGAAATCCATATATATTCATATATTTTAAAATGTATCTTCCGTTTCGTTTAAAACTTGTTTCCGTACTAAATCAAGGATAATTGAAAATCGTCAAATATTTCATCTGTAATACAAAATTTCTCTAACACTTATAATTCTTAAAATATGTTTCATTTTGATTTTCTTTTGAACAACCTATCAAGGAGGTTACGTATAGCGCCATCTACCAGCGAATAGCTCAAGCGAAGTTGATTCTTACTGTCATTTTCTATCCATTCGCTTTTATATTTTCATGCTTTATAGTTTTTACATTCTCATACTTACATTTACGTGTTGCATGAGAATATTCATTATTATTATTATTTTTATTAATTATTTCAATATGTAACAAATTTATTATCATTTTCTGACTACTTTTCCACCCCAAAATGCTGAAATCACCAAATGTTCAAATATTACTTTCAATTTGTATAACTTATATTCTTCGAAATAATAACACTTTGACAATAATATTTTATCTTCGACAATATCTCCTTTAAAATCGTACTGATGAAGTTATGTTTCAATGAAGTGAGTACTCCAGAGAAATCGCGAATAATATGTTGATGGACTAATTGATTGTTATAATGAGCACGTTGAATATGTTTCGAATAAAATGAGGTTTCTACTGAACAAATTTGAGTTTTTCAAAAAGATTTTTGACATAGCACAGCTACGAACATTATATTTCAGTCTTGTACAGTTCAGTATCAACTATGGAATAATTGTGTGGGGGTATTACTGATAATCATCTCAGGGTTATCAATGGCACTCAAAAATTTCTCATTAACATTATTTTCAATAGAGATTATACCTATCCGTCTGAAACACTTTTCACAGAATATAAATTTTCAACACGTTGGCATCTATATTTTCTAAGCCTTGCAATGTATCATAGAAGATATGAAACAACATTATTGGATCACTTGCACAATACCAGATTCAAGCAAAAAACCTCAAGGATTCCTAAAGTAAGCATATTTCGAAGTCAAAGATTTCTCACATACTTGTGCCCTATTGCCTATGCGTAAGTTCCATTTGAAATAAAGTTTATTACAAGTGATAACAGATTCAAAAAAGAACTGAAATTATGGCTAAGTAACATAACAATAGGTGAGATAAATGAAATATTGGAACGAAACAAAATGAAGCAGTGATACAGAGAGAAAAAGCACAGGTTCTCACAAAAAAAAAATGTGAATATTCATAAGTATAAATGGAAATAATTTCACAATTCATGATCTACACCAGTTTTATGCGTATATTTGAACTTTTATTTATACATATGTTTTAATTCGCTTCTGTCTTATTGTTCACCATATTCTGTACTGTTGCAATCTTTCTGAACAAGGACTTACCTTATAGAATAGACATCCACTCAAAAGTGCAGTCATCAAGGACAATATTAAGAACAGAACATTGAATGAAATATAAAAAATTTGACTCTCAATTACTCTACATTCATGCTGTATAAATAATGAATGTTATGACCGATAGTTTAGTTTGTAATGTTGTTTGTTCACTGATTCATGTTCATCATATTTTTATTAATTTTTCCAATTCAACTGACATCACACACAAAACGTCTTAATTTAGTTTATTGTTTCAGTTTTTTTTGTCATACACAAGTTCTACGAGCTTCAGTGGCTTGTCATGTTTATTTCTGCATTTTTTCTTGTTCATATGTATAAGTATTCAATCTTATTAAATGAACATCATTATTATTATTATAATTATTATTATATCAGTTTATTTTTCATCAAGTTTTCCGCTCAGGAAATCTTCAATGTATGTGAAGATGTTGTTTCTTGTCGTCTTCATATTTCATTATGATACTCGAAACAATTACCTCTTCAGACATCATCGTATTCAGCTCCAAAACGGAGTGAAACTCAGCTCGATTCCATCTTTATCAATTTATCATGTTTCAATGAATGAGTAAGAACTAATAACATTAACGCTCCAACACGAACAAATTTCAGCTGAGACCTAATTTTCGAAATAATTATTCCAAGCGGAGATTGAATGAGTAATGCAATCAAGAATTCAACGAATATATGAATTGTTGATGAAGGTGAGAGTTTGGGCCTTCTCTGTGATTCTCTATGAAATTCAGAAGACGTCGATAAGTGCTTTAGCTCATTCATGATGCTTTATGGGAGATGATGAGGAAATTAACATTAACATAAACTCAGAAAGTCATTCGGAGTTTAGATACCCAGAAAATATTTAGTATTTTACTTAATGAAAAGAAAATTATTTTCAAAAGAGATTAGATGTTAGAACGAAAAAGCTTTTTTCTCTTCTTTCCTTTTTTCATATACAGGTTGTCGCTTTATTAGCTAAAATTTAGGTTATCCATTTTCAGGTTCATTTCGATAATTTAAGCCCTAAAAATTTCGATTTTTGAATTACACAACCTAGAAAGAATTTAATCAGTTCGGACTTCCACTGTGTAATGTGATACAAATTGATTTGAAGTACCTGAAAGATTCTGTCAGAAAAATAAAAAAGAGATTAGCTGAAAATTAACAATTATATTAAGCAAGTAAAACTGAAATCACACTGAAATAAAATACAAGCAACAACCATTAAATCAAAAAGAAAATATTAACACGAATTGAGAATTAAGAAATTATCAACAATAAATGAGAATTAAGAATACATGTACAACACACACAGCAAGGAGAAACCAGCAAATCAGGAATAGCAGAGCACGTTTGACTCATCAACATAACATTAAGTGGGCTCAAGCTGAAATTATCCACAAGGAAGAACACTGGTTCAGGAGAAAATTCAAAGAAGTCGCCTTTATGTTGTCCAACAACACATCTAGACAAGCTAGCGTAGAGATACCCAACATATGGAAACCTCTAATCAAGCGGAACATGACCAAGTCCCGCCAAACGGTCGACTTCCGCTAAAACCAGTGAAACGGCGAGAGGGAAGAGGGGATAGGTGAAAGCACTCGAATGACCTATAAATAGTCATATCTCGGAGAAATAAACCCACTTATCACTTGAAGACGATTGTGGATATTAACAATCGAAACGTCGTGAATTAACTTAGTTTGGAGTCTTTTCATTTTCAATTTTCATTTCTTGTTAATAGTTTTTTAATGTTCATCTCGTGCGAGTAGTTTAATTTTTTTTTTATTTTTTGTTTGTTGCTTGTAGTTTATTTTATTGTAATTTCAGTTGTTTATGCTTAATATAATTGTTATTTTTCAGCATATCTCTTTTTTAATTTTTTTACAGATTCTTTCAGGTATTTCAAATCAATTTATATAATATTAGACGATGGAAGTGCGAACTAATGAAATGCACCAAGAAACATTGTCAATTACCTTCAAACAAACCTGGAAAGAATCCTTGTTTCTCCTTATGGATTTTTTTGTAAAACGTAGATTTGTTTTTATCAAAGATATTAAACAACGATACGTCATGCTTATTCGTGAAGTAAAATCATTTTGCTCATTTACCGATCGTATATGATACGATCGCTAATTTTCATGGAAGAAAGAAATGTATTCATTCACATTCTGCTTTGATACTGGGTATTTCAAAAGTATATGCAAACTTAGGCGGTTGAGTGGCCTCTCCAAGATCATGACATCTCATGAAATTACTTTGTGTCAAATGTTTGAGCAGCAGTAGCAGAATCTGCACCAAAAAAGGAAACATTGTCTGTCTCAACAGGTCAGCAAACGCTCAAAAGATGATTCGCCCAAACTAGATGGGAAAAGGCATTGCTTGGCTGATTCTGATATTGTCAGGCATAGTCAACGTACCAATGACCGATATATACCCTCATACGGGTAGGTATCGAAGTGGCAATCAGAGAGAATCAAGAGGGTATCTTCTGACTGGTGTTCAGTTAATACGCTTCAGCCATTGAATGTTCCTGAAATTCATCACAGAAAATGTATTTTCCAAAACGTACATGTGTGTTGCTCCGATCAGGTCCTCACTATATTGAGGAAAATGTACCTTTGTCTGTCTACTTAGGATTCGATTATTCTTTCCTCTACTCTATATATCTCTGCAACTAGTTCAATAACTAG